AATTCTTTCTTGTTCAGAAGGAGGTCAATCTGTGTTCTGTTTAGGCCTTCAACTGATTTGGTGAGGCCCACCCACATTACGAAGAGTAATCTGCTTTACTTGAAGGCCACCAATGTAAATAATTTCATCCAAAAAACATTTTCACAGAACCATTTAGAATAATGTTTGATTAAATATCTGACCACCGTGGCCCAGCCAGATTGATACATAACATTTAACCATCACAAACTGTAACAAGAAATTAGAACAATGGAAGATTTGCTGCTATGCAATAAAAAGAACTCAAGAATACAAGAATTAAAACAAAACAAAACACAAGAATAGCATCTATATGAGCAGCCACTAACCCTAGGCCCAAGGCTAGGCAAACCTAAAATGCCCCCTTTCCCCCAGGCTGAGAGCCCGATTTGTTAGGGCACAACCATAGCCCATCAGTACTAAAACGCCACACCAGTAGCACTTGTGAATCTACCCTTAGGTGCCAGGGAAGGATCCATGGGGAGGTACCGTGTCCCAGAACTTGCTGGGAGGCCATCCATGGAGAGGTGCTATACCAGTAAGACTCAGTGGAGAGTGGAGAGCCACCCAGGGGAATGTCATACGAGGTTAGCTGCTGAGAACAAGAGCTAGGAGCGTCCTGTAGGAGCTTGCAGAAGGAAGCACAGCAGAACAAGGAAGAGAAGCTCCCTCGTCTAGTGCCTCTCCAGAGCATTCTCCTGACAAAGGCGAACATTGTGCCAGCTGGCAAAGGAAAAGTGTTTACAAGAGGGTCTAGCATTGTTGCAGAACAGGCAATAAAGGGTAGATTTGGAGCTGAGAGGCAATAAACTGGTAACTGCCCCAGTTCCTGATAGTTACAGAGGAAACAAAGGAGGGGAGCAGGAAAATGCAGAAGGAAAAGAGACAATAGAGCAAATATCTCCAACCTTCATGGGGCAATGCTTTGGAGCACATTGTCTGCCGTGTCTCTTTGAACTTGGTCCAGATATATCTATACAATTTTCATCACTACCCTTTAAACTATTAACTTTAAAAAATACTGATTAACTGCAGTTAAAAAGGTTAGGAGGCTTTCGCAGTCTAAGGGAAAGAAGACCACAGGGGTAGCAATGAAGGTGATGAAAAGTGTTGGGCACTGGGTATATTTTGAGACTAAAGCAGAGAACTTCCTGATGGATTGAATGTGGGGGATGAACAAAAGAAAAGTCAGGAATGACTGAGGATCTTGGAGTGAACAACTGGAAGGATGAAGCCAGAATGTCTGTTAACCAAGATGAATAAGGATGGGGGGAGAACAGGCTTTGGAGACAGATCAGAAGTTCAAGTTTGGACATACTAAATTTCAAATATTGATTAGATATCCAAGTGGAAATGGTGAACAGGAAATTGAATGTCTGCATCTGGATTTTTTGAGCAATTGGACTTCAGATATACATTTGGGAGTTGCCAGCACATATAGATGGAATTTAACCTCCTAAAACTGGATAAGAACATAAAGGGATTGAGTTATTAAATAATCTCCCAAAACATTCATTTTAATTCCATGATATGGATGGATATGGCATGATTTATTGTGTGACATTTAGATTTACCTCCCATTTTTTCACTATTCTGAAAAATGCTATGATGAAAAACATCTACATAGTTCCTAATGTTTCACTATTCTGAATAATACCATAATGAACAAAGATCCTTGCTTTGTGAAATAACTACCATTTTTGTGGGTCAAAGGCAAATGTAGACAACTTTACATGATTCAACCTAATATTTGTGATACTTCTTTTGGTTCTTTATCCTGATGAGTTATAATTTGATTAAAATAGATACTGTAACCTAGATGGAGCGATTAATCTCTGGGCTGCAAAATCTAAAAATAAATCACTCTAGTTAGAGCTACCCTGTAGGGCCAGATGTTTCCTAAACTCCAGTAAAACAATCCTGAGGTTTATCATTTACCTATCCATAACTTGTCTTCTTAAATGATCCCAAAACTTTTCCTGAGTTTCTCACATTAACATCCTATGCTTCCAAATACATGAAATAAAAACTGATGGAATCAATGAGAAAGAGACAAAGCCTCAAGTATAGTAAGAAAAGAACTCCTTTCTCAATAATTGAAAGAGTAAATAGGAAATCAGTAGAGACATAGAGGACTTGGACAATACCATCAACCAACTTGACCAGATTGACATAGAATATTTTCACCAACAACAAGATACAAATTCTTTCCAAGTACACAACACTTACCAAAACTGACAATATTTGGGGTCATAAAACATGTATCAATAAATGTAACAAGATTCAAGTCATGTAAAGTGCGTTCTCTGGCCAAGAGGGTCAAAAAATGAATCAAAAGTGAAAGCAAAAAGAGCATCTAAAGCAGCTCTTAAAGAGAGATTAATAGCACTGAACACCTACATTAGAAAAAGTTTTCAGTGGCTCAGTAGGTTAAGCATCCAACTCTTGATTTCGGCTCAGGTCATGATCTCGGGGTCGTGAGATCAAGCCCTGTGTTGGGATTTGCACTGGGCATGGAGCCTGCTTAAGATTCTCTTCCTCTTGGGGCGCCTGGGTGGCTCAGTTGGTTGGGCGACTGCCTTCGGCTCAGGTCATGATCCTGGAGTCCCTGGATCGAGTCCCGCATCGGGCTCCCTGCTCGGCAGGGAGTCTGCTTCTCCCTCTGACCCTCCCCCCTCTCATGTGCTCTCTGTCTCTCTCATTCTCTCTCTCAAATAAATAAATAAAATCTTAGAAAAATTAGTATTTTTTTTTTTTTTGCAACTGTTTTATATTACATTTTCAAATGGTGCTAAGTTGCTGGGTCAAAAATAGTTATTAAGTTGTTTATACCTAACCATTAAATAAGTGAGCCTGTTAGGGATCTCTGTTGGCCTGGAGTTCCATGAGAGGCTAAGGGCTCCATAATTCGAAAGAGTTTGGGAACCTCTGACTTAGAGTATCTTCCAGGTTAAAACTTCATACTAAGAAAAAGAGAGGGCGCCTGGGTGGCTCAGTTGGTTAAGCGACTGCCTTCGGCTCAGGTCATGATCCTGGAGTCCCTGGATCGAGTCCCGCATCAGGCTCCCTGCTCGGCAGGGAGTCTGCTTCTCCCTCTGACCCTCCCCCCTCTCATGTGCTCTCTCTCTCATTCTCTCTGTCTCAAATAAATAAATAAAAAAAAATCTTAAAAAAAAAAAAGATTCTCTTCCTCTCCCTCTGCCCCTTCTCCATTTCTCTCTCTCTCAAAAAAAAAAAAAAAAAGTTTCTCTATGATACATATGTAACAGATGTTACTATGTTCCATGTAACATGTTAACATGTTAATTAGAAACTGTTTCGAAACTAAAAAAAAAAACTAACAAAAAAGACAATAATAAAGATTAGAGCAGAAATCAATGAATTAGAAAACAGAAAAAGAAAAAAGTCAGTGAAACCAGACGGTAATTCTTTGAGAAATCAATAAAATTGATAATCCTGTAGCCAGGCTGATTAGAGAAAAAAGAAACAAGACACAAATTGCCAATATCAGGAATGACAGAGTTGACATAAATACAGATCCTACAGATATTAAAAGAATCATAAGGGAATAACATGAACATCATTTTGGCAATAAATTCTACAACTTATATGAAAAGGATGTTTCTTAAAGACATCAACTACCAGGGGCGCCTGGGTGGCTCAGTCGTTAAGCATCTGCCTTCGGCTCAGGTCATGATCCCAAGTCCTGGGATTGAGTCCCGCAACAGGCTCCCTCCTCCGCAGGAAGCCTGCTTCTCCCTCTCCCACTCCCCCTGCTGTGTTCCTTTTCTCGCTATGTCTCTCTGTCAAATAAATAAATAAAATCTTAAAAAAAAAAAAAAAAAGGACATCAACTACCAAAGTTCACTTGAGAAGAAACAGATAACCTGAACACCCTATGTCTGTTAAAGAAATTGAATTGTTATTCCATTTGAATTTAATAACTTCTCACAAAGAAAACCTCAGGCCTAGATAATTGCAGTGGTGAATTCTATTAAAAATTTAAGAAAAAAGTAATGAAAATACTACACAAACTCTTCCAGAAATTGATGAAGTGTGTGTTAATTTGCTAAAGCTTCTACAACAAAGTACCACAGATTAGGTGGCTTAAACAACAGAAATTTATTTTCTCATAATTCTGGAAGCTACAAGTCTGAGACCAAAGTGTTAGCAGTGGTTTCTTCTGAGGCCTCTGTCCTTGGCTTGTAGGTGATCATCTTCTCTCTGTATCTTCACATTGTCTTTCCTCTGTGCATGTCTGTGTCCTAATTTCCTCTTATAAGGACACCAGTTATATTGGATTACAGCCCACCTTAATGACCTCATTTTAACTTAATTACCTCTCTAAAGACCTTATCTCCAAATATAGTCACATTCCTAGGTACTAGTAGTGTCAGGGCTTTAATATATAAAATTTGAGAGGACACAATTCAGTCCATAACAAGGTAATACTTCCCAACCCATTCCATGAGCCAGCATTATCCTGATACTATTACCAAACAAAGAAATTACAAGAAAAAAAAAAAAATACAGACCAAAAACTCTGATGAACATAGACGTAAAAATTCTTTTTTTTTTTTTTAAAGATTTTATTTATTTGACAGAGACACAGCGAGAGAGGGAACACAAGCAGGGGGAGCGGAAGAGGGAGAAGCAGGCTTCCCGCAGAGCAGGGAGCCCGATGTGGGGCTCAATCCCAGGACCCTGGGATCATGACCTGAGCTGAAGGCAGATGCTTAACAACTGAGCCACCCAGGCGCCCCTAGACGTAAAAATTCTTTTTTTCTTTTTTAAGATTTTATTTATTTATTTATTTATGAGAGAGAGAGAGAGAGAAACAGCATGAGAGGGAGAGGGTCAGAGGGAGAAGCAGACTCCCCGCCGAGCAGGGAGCCCAATGCAGGACTCGATCCAGTGACTCCAAGATCATGACCCGAGCCGAAGGCAGTCGCCTAACCAACTGAGCCACCCAGGCGCCCCTAGACATAAAAATTCTTAACAAAATGTTATCAATTCAAACCTGGTGATAAAAATATGTCATGACTAATTGGGCTTTATCAAGGAAAGGAAGGTATTTGTTATTCAAAAATTAAAAATCAAGCAATATAGTTCACCATATTTACAGACCAAAAAATAAAAGCAAGTTATATGCTCATCTCAGTAGATGTAAAAAAATTTTTTTGACAAATTCTAGCATTTATTCATGGTTTAGGAAAAAAATTAACTCAGCAAATTTCTTCACCTCAGATATACTATTTTCATGGGTCAGTAAATGCTAATGGGCATCTACAAAACACCTATAGCTAAACATCATACTTTAATGGAGAGAGGCTGAGCACTTTCCACCTAGGATCAAAAACAAGGCAAAGATATCCAGTCTTAACACTTCTATTCAACACTGTACTAGTTTCTAGCCAGTGCAACAAGACAAGAAAAACAAAAAGCATCAAGATTGGAAAGTAAGAAGTAAAACTATCTATTTACAGATGACATGATTGCCCATGTAGAAAATCCTATGGAATTTACTAAAAAGTTACTAAAACTAAATGAGTTCAGCAAGGTTGCAGGACACAAAGTTAATGTACAAAGATCAGTTGTACTTCTATATGCAATAGCATTACAAATCTGAAATACTTGGGAATAAGTCTGACCAAAAAATGTGCAAGACCTACTCACTGAAAACTACTGAGGGAAATTAAAGAGGCCTTAAATACATGGAAAGGTATGGTGTGGAAAAAAAAAAAAAAAGATAATTTTTTGTGTTCGTAGGTTAGAACAGTCAATATTATTAAGAAGTCAGTTCTTCCCAGGTGCCTGGGTGGCTCAGTTGGTTAAGTGACTGCCTTCGGCTCAGGTCATGATCCTGGAGTCCCTGGATCGAGTCCCGCATCGGGCTCCCTGCTCGGCAAGAAGTCTGCTTCTCCCTCTGACCCTCCCCCCTCTCATGTGCTCTCTCTCTCTCATTCTCTCTGTCTCAAATAAATAAATAAAATCTTTAAAAAAAAAGTCAGTTCTTCCCAATTTGATCTATAGAGTCAAAGCAATCCCATCCAAAATCCTAACAGTCTTTTTTTGTAGAAATTAACAAACTAACTCTAAAATTTATAATGAAAATGCAAAGAACCTAGAAGAGCCTAAATTACTTTGAAGAAAAGAGACAAATTTGGAGGACTATATTAACTGATTTCAATACTTACAATAAAACTAGAGTAATTCAGTTGGGGGGAAAAATTGAGGTAGACAAATAGATCAATTGAACAGAATAGAAAGTTTGATAACAGACCCACACATATATGGTCAATTGCTTCAGTGAAGTTGCAAGGGCAATTAAATGGCAAAAAGAATAGCCTTTTCAGGCTATTGTTCAAATGCAAAAGAAACGAAGTTCCATCCACACCTTATACCATATACAAAAATTAACTCAAAATGCATCATAGAGTGTTCACAGCACTTTGCTTTCCCACTGGTGTGCTCCTTTGGAGCTGAGTCATTGCTGATTCATAGAGCTTGAAGGACACATTGGCTTTTCTGTTTCAACAAAACTTGAAACTTGGAAACAAAATGGAAGAAAACAAACAATGCAACAGTATGGTTAATGGTAATTTTGAAGAAGTTCCCAGCAAGGAGGTAACTGAGTTCAACCATCTACTGTACAGAGATACTACTTTGTTAAAAATTTAGTGGATCAACATCAACCCAAGAAGGTTGCAGACTTGGGCTTCAGTGATGCCACACTTAGATGGATGCTAAAATTCCACAGTTGCACTGAACATCTTCTTGGAATAGATATTATTGCTGCCAATTCCTTACAATGGGAAGGGACTAAGTTGACTCCAACAGTGGGGGATTATCTGGCTCCTTGGGACCTAGATTTGACTATAACCTTATATTGTGCTTCTGCTGTACAGAAAGACTCTCGTTTGCTTGGATTTGACTTCATAACATGTACTGAATTGATAGAATACTTAGATTCTGAAGATCTGGCCAAGTTTCCTGAAGTCATATTTGGGTACTTTTCTCTGGGTATGGTTGTCATCAGCACACCAAACTCTGAATTCAATCCCCTGTTTCCAGCATCAACCTTTAGAAATCCAGATCACAAATTTGAGTGAAACAGAATGCAGTTTCAGACGTGGGCTTTGGATGTGGCAAATCTCTACAATTACTGCATCGAGTTTACTGGTATGGAGGCTCCACCAGCAGGAGCTGAACATGTTGGCTACTGTACCCAGATAGGGGTCTTCCAGAAAAACATAGCAAAGGCAACTGAATCGTGCATTTCAGAGCCACAGGAACATGTTCATAAAGCTGTTTTTACAACCTCATACCCGAGTTCACAGCAAAAAGAATACCTCCGGCTTGTTCTGAGCACCGAGGTGTTAAAAGCAGTCGACTTCATGAAAGTCGGGTTTCTTCTGGATCTGAAGAAAAGTGCAGTCAAGTGGTTCCAGAAGGCAGATGCATCCAACGGCATGGATCAACCCTCACAGAAGCTCAAGGAGCCCAAACAAAGCAGTCCCCCAAACCTTACAGTATGGGGAAGGTTTTTGTACCCCTGGAAAGACTCACTGCTTATCCGATGGTGAACCGCTTGGTGGACAGTGTGGAGAAGCGGAGAACACTGTTTGCTGAAGCAATTTGACTAAACAGAGATCAAACTGCGGTGCAGGCAGACTTGATTGATTCCCATACACGAAACCTCCTTAAGTCTTCATGATAGGCTCACTTAGACAACTTTGTGTTGTCGTAAGTTAGGCAACTTAGTTTTGAATTTCTCTAACCTTGTTCTTGTTTTTCATATGCTTTTTGCAGGGTGGTGGAGGGTTCATAATGTGCTTGTTCATGTTTCTGTTAGTCCCATGTTGAATGTGACTTTAAAACATTTTAAAGCAAATTGGATTATCAAATAAACCTTTTCCCAGCGTGGGGAAATGCATCATAGATATAAACGTAAAACCTAAAATTGTAAAACTTGAAAAGAAAACAAAGGTAAATGGCCTGGGGTGAGGCAAAGATTTCTTAGATATAGTCCATAAAAGAAAAAACTGATAAACTGGACTTCATAAAAAGTATGCTCTTTTTTTCAAGTTGGACATATTTATTAATCAGTGTAAGACTTCAACATAGCACATCAACATGACTTTGAGCATTCAGAGGGGAAATAGTTCTTGGTTAAGCAGAAAACTGTACAAATGACTTCTGAAGACCTTCATTCTAAGCAGTTTTACAGTCAAACATTTCAATTAGAAGTCTGAACCCTCTTTCTTCAGTTTGCTGTAATCTACATTCACTAAGTAGAACTTGCTTTGATCATTAGGACACACTTTACTCTGGGTTCTGGGTTACTCTCTTCATCCCAACAGATACTTGGATCAAACAATGCCAGACACAAGACATACACTGCTTCTCCAGTACCTCCAGCTCCAATAAATATGAAGAGAGAAATCAAGCTTGAATGTTTTCTTGGCCTAACCAAGGACCTAGGGGAGCATATTTGTGGCAAAGGCCTTGGGTGTGAAAGGAGAGGAGACTAAGGCCAGGCCTGGGACTAAGTAGTCTCTGCCAAAAAAATATACTCTTTGAAAGATACTATTAGGAGAGTGCAAAGATAAGCCACAGACTGGGAGAAAATATTAGCAAATCACATATCTGATAAAGAACTTGTATGCAGTGTATATAAAAAACCCTCAAAAAGCAGTAAGATAGGGACGCCTGGGTGGCTCAATTGGTTAAGCGTCTGCCTTCGGCTCAGGTCATGGTCCCAGGGTCCTGGGACAGAGTTCCACGTCTGACTCCTTGCTCAGAGGGGAGCCTGCTTCTCCCTCTGCCTGCCCCTCTCCCAGCTTGTGCTCGCTCTCTCTGGCAAATAAATAAAATCTTAAAAAAAAAAAAAAAAAGCAGTAAGATAAACAGCCCAACAACAACAAGAAGGGGCAAATAATTTGAATGGACACTTTAACAAAGAAGGTATGTGGATATCAAAAAGCACACAAAAAGATGCTTATCACCATTAGTTATCTCAGAAATGTAAATTAAAACTAAAATCAGATACTACTATACACCTCTGAGAATGGCTAAAACTGAAAGGACTGATTATACCAGAAGTTGGTGAGGCTGTACGGCAACTGGGATTCTCATATATTGCAGATGGGAATGTAAAACGGGGCAACCACTTTGGAAACCAGTTCGTCAGGTTCTTAAAAAATTTGACATATACCTATCATATGACTAAGCCAATCTATTCCTAGGTAATTAATTACCAAAGAGAAGTAAAAGCACATATCTATACAAATACCTGTACATGAATGTTCATGATAGTCTTATTTGTAATAGCCAAAAACTGGTATTAACCCAATTGGTATCAACAGGTGAGTGGATAAACAATGGGTGATATATCCACACAATGGAATACTACTAGCAATAGAAAGGAATAAACTACAGATACATGCAACAACACAGATGAATCTCAAAGTAATTATTCTGAGTAAAAAAAAGGCAAAAAATGAATACATACTATAGGATTACACTTACATAAAATCAAACAAAAATGCAAAGAATCTGCAGTGACAGAAGACAAATGGGTTGTTGCTTGGACACAGGGGCTGCTAAGTGGATGGGATGATAAAGAGGCACAAGGAAACTTTGGGGTGACAGATATATTCATAATCCAGATTGTGGTGATAGTTCCATAGCTATATACATGTGTCAAAACTTACCAAAACTGCACACTTTCAGTATGTGAAATTTGTTGAGTGTCATTGATAGCTCAATAAAGCTCAATAAAGGCTTTTTAAATCTAACTGAAAAGTTGAGAAGAGGGGCGCTGGGTGTCTCAGTCGGTTAAGCAGCTGCCTTTGGCTCAGGTCATGATTCCAGGGTCCTGGGATCAAGCCCCGCATCGGGCTCCCTCTCACACTCCCTCTGCTTGTGTTCCCTCTCTGTCAAATAAATAAATAAATAAATAAATAAATAAATAAATAAATAAATAAATAAAAGTTGAGAATGCATTGAAACTAAAATGGAAAAAAAAAAGTAGGGGTAACCCAATAACTTGATTTACCCATCATTCCCTTCTACCTCATTCAGTGGGCTTCTTAAGTCATCACTTGGTTACCCACAAGCACTTCAGACATCTTAAGATGTTCTACACTCAATGCCAAAGGCTGGAAGCAGGTCAGGTAAATCTGGACGAACCCAACAAGTGCCTAGTGTAAGGAAACACATGTGACTGCAGTCACACACTCCTTCAAAGAAGGCCAACTGGCATTTTAGCTTCTAGGTTTCCACACAGCATTGCTGTTATGACTCTTTAAACGCCTCCCCTTAATATTCTTACCCGGCTGTGTCCCTCAATCCTAATGTATTTTATTATGATCCCCCACCCCCACTGAAAGATCCACCTTAGACCAGGCTTCAAAAGCTCAATAAATACCTAGACTTTGCCCTTTCCCCTCTGCCCTCTGATAGGCTCCTCAGGCTAGTCAAGTTAGTACTCTTCCTCACTGTGCAAGCAACAACCGGATTGTCTTGATGATAATTCAGGAAGCCAGGATTCAACATTATTGATCATTTGTATTTTCTCTTCTAAATTATTTTAGTAATCTTTGCCCATTTCTTCATTTTAAATGTTTGCTTTTGGTTTCGATTTGTAGTTTGAAAACTTCTTAAAGCTATTCTTTGCACTATCTGATGTAAATATTTTCTCACTTTTATCTTTTTGGTGGTTTGTTGTTGTTGCTGTTGCACAGAAATTTTTAGTTTTCACATGTTTAGAGTCATTATAAAAATAAATAAATAAAACAGCTTCCAGTGCTATACTGACTGGGTTCAAATGTCTACTGCTTACTAGCTGAGGACCCTTGTGTAACTCTCTGTGAACCCAGGTTCCTCATCCTGCCTCCCACGGGGATGCAAGCTCCCTGAAAGGAGGTATTTCCAGCTGTTTTGTTAACTGCTGTATCCCCGGCTCTGGGGACAGTGCCTGATACACAATAAACGCTCAATAAATATTTACTAAATGAATGAATCTATGAAGTCAGAACAATCTTATTTACCTCATGGGATTGTTATAAGAATTAATTAATCCTCATGAATTTTAGTCTAGAACAGTGCCCGGCACACACTAAGAGTAGAAGGAATGGTAGCGCCTGGGTGGCTCAGTCGTTAAGCGTCTGCCTTCGGCTCGGGTCATGATCTCAGGGTCCTGGGATCGAGCCCCGCATCGGGCTCCCTGCTCCGCGGGAAGCCTGCTTCCCCTCTCCCACTCCCCCTGCTTCTCCCTCTCCCACTCCCCCTGCTTCTCCCTCTCCCACTCCCCCTGCTTCTCCCTCTCCCACTCCCCCTGCTTGTGTTCCCTCTCTCGCTGGGTCTCTCTGTCAACTGAATAAATAAAATCTTTAAAAATAAAAGAGTAGAAGGAATGTTCCCTCCCTCTCCCATCCCCCAAATCCTGCCTCTCAGAGAAGTTTCACCTGATCGTCTTCCCTCCCGCCCCCACCTCCCCTCAGTTAAGTCTTTCCCTTTCCTCGGCCCCCTCCTCCTCCCACAGGATTTGCACCATTGTTCCCTTTCAGGGTGGCTCACTTGTCCCTGGAAGTTCTTAACCTTTGGGCATCTGGGAGCCCCTTTGAAAAACCAAGGACATTTACGAACACTCCCCCCAGAAAAATGCACCTACGCACAGGCACACAGGCTTCTCCGTACAATAGGACGGAGCTCACAGGATCCGGCCACCAAACTGCCATTTTAGATCTCCGAATTAAGCGGACACGAACGTCAAAAGACTCCTTGCTGCTTCGGAGCAGCATTAACGGGTCACACCAAAGCAGCTCTTCAGTGCGAGGGTCAGAGTCCACACCGGGGGTCCCGATGGGAGCTCCAGTGAGATGCAAATCGCTCTCCGCCTTGGCGGGCGAGGGCGCCTATTGTTCCTCGCCGACTGCATTTCAGAGCCGACCCCCGACCCTGGCGGGGGAGGGGCGCTGTGGGGACCGGGCCGGGAGGCAGCGAGTTTCTGAGTGGAAGCAGGGGGGCCCCAGTAGACGCTAAGGTCATTTAGAAACTGCGGCAACCGCCCCCCAGTTGGTAAGCAACAAACCCGAAGCACCGTAAGGCTCCGTGTTCCTGTCTTCTGCGAGAGGAACGAGGGACACGGTGGGAGACGCCCCACTGCCCTTTCAGGAAACGGCGAGGACTGTCCTGTGAAAAGGGGACGAGCCCGGGCCCGGGGACGAGCCACGTGGCTTCGTCTAACTGCTGTAACCGTCCTGAGCCGTCGCGAGGAGCCGCGCAGACCTGCTCCTTCGCGGGCGAGAAAGTGAGGGGACTCGGTCGCCCACACCTCGTGCTGCACCTAGAGGCGCCCACAGTTGGGAGCTGTTATGCATGAGTACTGAGGAGCCACTCAGAGCGAGGGGGTCGCGCGGGGGGCAGCGCGCGGGCCGGGAGTCGGCGGCGGGGGAGGAGCGCGGGGTGCGGGGAGCCGAGCCCCCCGGCCCCCGCACGCCCGGCTGTCTGCTCCCTGCCTACGTGGGCCCTGGCCTTCTTTGTGTTGTGGAGCCTCGCGAATAGACACGCACACACCCTCCCCTCCCCCCCACCCCCGGCCCTCTAACGCGGGGTGGGCCTCCCTCACAGACGGAGGGCTCTCCCAAAAGTGAGTGGACTCGAAGAGCCTGAAGCTGGTGCAGCCCTTTCTTTCGTTCTTCTGATTGGAAAGAGTCCCAGAGGCGACGGGATTTGCCCGAAGTCGGCAACTTCCTGGAACTGGAAGCCAATCGGAAGACTTCCGCGCCGCTGCTCTTTCCGCTGTGCTCAGGTTACTTAGCGCCTCGGGACCCGCTTTTGAAAAGGGAGGGAGAGAGGTCGGCCCGGGAGCGCCCCTGAGGGAAATGTTCTTCGGACTCGGTAACTGCTCGTGGCCGGCGGTGAGAGAGTGGGGGTGATACAGTGTGGAACCTGCTTCCCCCCAAAACATAACGTGCACAGTTTCCAGTTGTTTTCCGAGATCCTGAATTTTCGTGGGTGCATCTTCCGGGGAGGGGGGCAGGCGGGCTGCGAGCACACCTGTTTTGTTTACCTAATGCAGAGCAGGTACCTAATAAATATTTGCGGAGCGGAGGGCTGCTCAGCTGCATGAGCCCCGTTTCCTCGTAGGGACGTAGGAGGGTTTGCGGAGCGCAGCCCCACCTGGGAGGCGCGTAAGCCCTTGCCAGCGTTTCTCAATTACGGCTCTGCCGCGAGTATCCTCTGTGCGTAAATCCTTGACTGCATCTCATGATTATTTCCATAGGCTATTTTCCTCGAAGTGGGATTACTGGGTTGAAGAGTAAGCGCGTAGTTAAGTCTCTTGATTGAGAGTGCCTCCAGCAGGGCCAGAGTGAGTCAGCTTACCAGCCACCGGGCCAAAACTCGGTATCATCAGGCTTCATTTTTCTTTCTTATTTTTTTGCCATCTTGATAGAACGAGAATGATATCTCATTTTGTTCGCCTCTCTTTGTGGACTAATTAGGTGGAGATTGGGCTGATTTTTCAAAGACATACTCTAAGGAGCCCAGAAAAATCCAGTGTGGGCAAGGAGACCACTGACACCAGGCACACTCTGCCCAGCAAGGTGAAACCAAAGGGCGCCAAATGTCTGGTATGATTTGACCTGAAGATGTAAACGTCTGAGCCTTGCTCCAGAGGCTTCCCCTGAGCAAGGGAGGGGGAGCCGTGACTTACTTGCTTCCCTGTGGTGGTTATTTTCATTTCCTGGGGAGGAGTGAATGTTATACAACAAATGAAAAATCTGTATACTTATCTTTAAGGACAGCAAGAAAAAGTAGAAATGGGACAAAACGATTTCAACATCATGGGAAGGGGGGGGTGAGTGGTGAAGTTTGGAGGCTGTGTGGCGGAGGGGGGAGCTAAGTCCCTGAAGGTCCGCTGCCAGCCTGGCGGGGAGGGAGGGAGCAAGAGGCCTCCCAGGGCTCTGGAGACTTCCTCCTGGAAAGGCTGCTGTGTGTTTTGCGGCACTTACAAGGCCTGGGATCCCTGGGGACCCAGAAGGGGCTTTTAATGGACTTGTGAGGATCAAACTTAAAACTGCCAGGGACAAAGGAAAGTGGTAAGGAAGTGGAGGCCGAGGTGCAGCTCACGCTGTGCTCTGGGAATGAGGAGGTAACTGGCTTTTTCCAAAGGTGGGGTGATGGTAGTTCGGGAAGCTTTTGGGGCTCTGAAACCTTGGGGACTTCTCGCCCAGTCAGAGCCACGTGCTGCTCGCCACCCCTTCAGACAGCCACTAGGTTCTTTTGCAAACCACACCCAAGAGGATAACTGATTTAGCAATGTTTACAGGCAGTTTTATTTACTAATCTAGCTCTCATTTACTCTCCACTAAATGTTTGGTCCTAATGACAGCCATCACTATGTTCCTGCTAATAAACATACGGGATGTGTTTTATGGTTGTTGGTTTTTTTTTAACTTTATGGGGGAGTTTTTCTTGATTACTTTAAATTTCCTATTAAAGCTTTTGGGGTTTTTTTGGTTTGGTTTTGTTTTTAGAGCGGGAGAGAGGTGGGAGGGGCAGAAGGGGAGAGAGAATCTTAAGCAGGCTCCACACACAGCGCAGAATCCGATGAGGGGCTCGAACTCACGACCCTGAGATCATGACCTGAGCTGAAATCAAGAGTCAGTTGCTTAACCAACTGAGCCACCCAGGCACCCCCCGCTTTTTATTTTTCTATTAAAGTCTTAAATTTAACAATCAGCTTCTAACAGCTTAGCAATCTATGCATTTTTCTGCCACTTTAATTCTTCTAAAAGGGCTCAAGCCAAATATGAACCAGGAGTTCTTAGAGGTTTCACTGAATGATTTCAAACCCTCGTCACACTTTAAAATCACTTGGTGGCTTTAAAAAAATTACAGTTTTCCCTTCCTCCCCCTTGGGAGACTAATTTTGTAGGGCTGGTACCTGAAAAGCTGGTATTTTTGAAAAGCCTCCTCAGTGATTCTTAACCAACTGAGCCACCCAGGCGCCCCATATCAGTGATTCTTGAGTTGCTGCTATAAAGGGGACTGATGTCCAAATGCTTATCTATTTTGTCTTTTAATGAAATTATGAAATTTGGAAATGGCAGTTTTAACTTCTAAAATGTTAAATAAGGCTTTGCATTTCTGGAAAACATTCTTTTCATCTCCCTCCCCACCCACCCAGGGCTTGAGTTTCCTGAGCTCTTCAGTTCTTCCTTACCTAACACTCTCTGTGTCCTCTCTGGTTTTCCGAGATTCCTGCTTTCTCCCTTTGGCAGCATGTTTTGGGCTTTCTTCCTATGCTGTCTTTCGAAGCCCTCTGCTGTTTAGGGCCCTGGAAACTTGAGGTATCAGCCCTGGGGCCATACTGTCCACTCCCACAACTGGCCTCGGGTGCTGTGATTCTCAGATCTTCGGGACTCACTGTTTCTCCAGGAAGTCTCCAGATGCCCACATTTCAACTGCCTACCCAGCATTTTACCCTTTGGTATCCCACAAAGCACCTCAGACTCAGTGTATCTCAAATATTACATTCTTAGCCATGTTTGTTTTTGTGGGTTTGTCTTTGTTTATTTTTAGTAACCTCTACACTCAATGTGGGGCTCAAACCCACAGCCCCGAGATCAAGAGTCACATGCTCTTCCTACTGAGCCAGCTGGGCGCCCCTGTTCTTTGTTTTGTATCTCAGAGAAAGGCTCTACTATGTTAGTCAAGCCAGAAACGTGGGGGTAACCCCATTCTTTCATTTAAAGCCACTATTCTACGCACCAGGAATACCAGAGACTACAAAAATCTCTGCCCTCCGAAAACTTGTATTCTAGAAGGGGAAGACAGACAGTAAACTATTAACCCCCAAATCTAACAGATTTCAACTTCTAATATCTCTAGACTCCACTCCATCTCTCCAGTCACCACCTTAGTTCAAACCCCTGATGGCCTCCCTCTTTCTCTTACTCCCTCCAGTCCATTCTCCCCATAGCAATGTAATCTTTCTAATGCTGAATCTTAAATTTCAGCCTCCAGCTTGAAGCTTTCCATCCCTCCAGGACAGAGTCTACCTTCACAGACCTGGGTTAAAGGGTTTTACAGCTTCTGAGTCCTGCTGGCCTCTCCATCACACATCTCCACCCACATGAGCCCCTCTGCTCGGCGGGCCGCACTGAATTTCAGCTGCCAGCCACCACACCTGCCGTTCCAACTCTCTCCCTCCCCTCCTGCCTAGAACAGCAGTCGGCTGTTTGCTTTGCAGGTCTCAGCTCGGACTGTATGACAGGCAGCCTCTAAGCTGGCCCCCACTGATCCCTGCCTCCTCCTGTTCGTGCCCTTGGGATCCTGAAGAACAGAATGTGGCAGAAGCTGCTGTGTTGCACACTGCCCTGTGATGAGGGCCACGTGACAAGGAACAGAGGGAGGCCTCCAGCCAAGAGCCTGTGGGGGAACCGAATCCCCTCGGCAACCACGAGTGTGCTTGGCATCGGGTCCTCCCCCAGCTGAGTCCTCAGATGAGCTGGCAGCCCCAGCGGTCAGTGTTAACCTGCGACCTCCTCCTCTAAGACCTTCAGCCCTGAGGCAGCCAGTTAAGGCAGCCTGGATTCCTGACCCAAAGAAACTGTGAGATAATAAATGTTTGTTGTTTTAAGCAGCTACGTTTTTGTTAATTTGTTACTCAGAAATAGATAACAAATACCCCCTCTGGACCCCTGTCCCTCCTCCACACCAAATGCAGTGCCCTTCTGAGTTGCAGAGCCAATGGTATTTCCACCTGTCATCCCCAGTGCTTAGCTTAGTATTAACTAACTAATTTACTTATTTATCCCTATCTCTTCCCCTAGATTAGGGGCTCTCTAAGGAAAAGGAGGAAGAGAGGGAAGAAAGTCACCATTTTCCTTCTCAAGACTCTGAATACCTGCTCGGCTTTGGCCCCAGCTTTGCACGGCCACAGTGTCCACAGTGATGGCCCCAGTGGGCCACTGCAACCCGGGGAAGAGGCTACGGCCAGCTGTCCTCACCTCCCGCGCGCGCGCACACAGACGCGCGCGCCCCCACAAAAAGAAGCTTGCACACACTTCGGGCAGGCTGCCCGTCACTCAGGAGGAGAGTGGGCGGAGTCTGTGCTTGCTCCTTCCACACACACCCTGAGGCTACACTTTGTGGGTTTTCTGAATGAAAGGTGGGAGGGAGAGCCGCCTTCTGCCTTTGAACTGCCCGGTTCCTCCACCTTTATTTGCAGCCAACTGAACTGTTACAGGAGGACACGGTTGTGAGTCCCCCGGGGGGAAAAAAAAAAAAAGAAAAAGCGCCCAAGTACTTCTTGCTGCTTTCATTTTCTGGTGTCTCAACCCACAGGCCACTCACTATCTCTGACCTAACCCGAGATCTGAAAGGGGCCACCTCTGGGTTCCCAGAGTGCCCGGTGGCACCTCCCTTGGGGCTGATAAGAGCACTGTCCTCTGGGCTCTGGTTCACTCTCCTGCCCTTTGTTAGAGAGCAGTGCCCTTGGCCTCCCGATGGCCTTCTGTTACCCTGTGCTGGCCCTACACCACAAGGGTGACAACTTCCCCAATCCCCCCACCACCACCCACCCACACACACTTCCTACCGCCCTCCACCCCCCAACCCCTTGGCCGGTCTGCCAGCGTGTCTGTTGTGTCCAAGCAGGCTGAATGAATGTTTGAGAGGCATGCTGGACTATGAACACACCTCTGTCTAGTTTAAAAAAAGAAGCTTCGAATAACATTGCACCTATGGCGCATACTTCTGTCCTGTCGGCCCTACTCCGGCGCTCAGGGGCAGAGTTCCTCTCGGCCTTCCTTTTGCGATTGCCTTCTGCTCAGCTGCTCACTGTTGCTAAGAAGGTTATACCCATCAGCTGTGCTCTAGATGTGTAGTAGTGTGACAACGGGAAGGACATGGATTTAGGGGCAGCAGATCTGCTATTTACCATATTTGATCCTGGTTGTGTCACCTGGCCATCCTGGGCCTCATCCTCCAGTCAGGTCTGCTAATATGCTGTTTCCCCCTATTCTGAGATTAAATTAAACAAACCACACACATGAATATGCACAGCGTGTAGTAGTAGGAGTCCGTGTTCAATAATTGTTCTTGTGTGTTTTAAAAAGACCTTAAAAGATCTTAACTATCTTTTAAGTTTTCCTCGGAAATACGGAAAGCAAAAGAATCCTGACGTCTAGTTGAGAAAATGCTGCATTAGTTTTGTTTGTTTTTTTGGTAGGAGACAGAGTGGGAGAAGGTTGAGGGTGATGTTAGGGGACTGCTGATTTACTGGTTTTTAATCTCACTCTTTCACTTCTGCCGTTCTGGAGTCATGCTGTGGAAACCAGCTGCTCAAATGCCCGAGGAAGGGATGTGCCTGGACCTGCCGCCGACTCCCAAGGTGGTAAGGTGTTTTTCATGCTCATGTTCCAATCTCTGTGCCTCTGCTCCGGCCCTGTCATGGTTGAGAGGGAAGCGCCCGCGTCCCTGAGAGCCCACCAAATGCGGTGGCCTACGTGCCGCCCTAGCAGCGCAGGTCAGACTCTTAGGACCCACAAATACCATTCGGTTTCCAGATCAACGAACACTTGTCTTCAAAAATCAGATGTATCCAACTTTCTTTCCATTGCCCAGAGTAGGTAGACAGAGTGGGTAGGATATCAAGTCCTGCATTTCAGTGCTCTTTTCTTTTTCCTTTTTTTTTTTTAAGGTTTTATGTATTTATTTGAGAAAGAGAGAGAGAGCACGAGCACGAGTGGGGTAAGGGGCAAAGGGAGAAGCAGGCTCCCCGCTGAGCAGGGAGCCCAATGCGGGGATCATGACCAGAGCTGAAAGCAGACGCCTAACCAATTGAGCCACCCAGGTGCCTCTCGGTACTCTTTTCAGATCAATCCAGTTTATGATGTAGTGTGCTCTAGTGCTTGACTTTATGTGTTATCAGAAGGGGAGCCAAACACATTGTTTTGAGATATTTCGATATTTAAGTCACCAACAGGTTTTTTTTTCTTTTAAAGATTTTATTTTTATTTGTTATTTTTTTAAAGATTTTATTTATTTGACAGAGAGAGACACGGCGAGAGAGGGAACACAAGCAGGGGGAGTGGGAGAGGGAGAAGCAGACTTCCCACGGAGCAGGGAGCCCGATGCGGGGCTCGATCCCAGGACCCTGGGATCATGACCTGAGCCAAAGGCAGACGCTTAATGACTGAGCCACCCAGGCGCCCCTAAAGGTTTTATTTTTAAGTAACCTCTACGCCCAAAATGGAGCTCGAACTCACAGCCCTGAGATTAGGAGTCGCATGTTTCCCTGACTGAGCCAGTAATAACAGAAGGCGCCCCAATAATAGAAGTTTCTATACCCACAGAACCTGCATCACTGTAACATTTCAACTTTTTCTCAATGATGAAGAATTACCAAGTTTGGTAAATCAAGGTCAAGAACAGATCAAAATTTGAATCCTGAAGTCTACATATATCCTCCTTGATAAGATAAATAGAAAGAAGTTTAAAAGGTAGTTTGACAGTGAGAGGGGTAATCTGGCATTTTATATAACTAAAGTCAGCTCTTCAAATCCTACTCCAAAGGGACATCTACATTCAACCAGTTTCTTCCAGCAACAATATCTGAACTTGCCCTCCACCAGAGCCACTCAGAGTCGTTTGCTATTTTAAATGAGAAATACTAGTCATCAAGTATAATGATGGGTAAGGGACTTAAAGAAAGCAAAAATAGGGGCATCCAGGGGTGCCTGGCTGGCTCAGTCAGAAGAATGTGTGACTCTTGATCTCAGGGTCATAAATTTGAGATTACTTAGGTAAAAATTTTTAAGAAAAAAAAAAGGAAGGAAGAAAGGAAGAAGAAAGATGTTAGGGAAAAAGGCTGACAGGGTTTGGTTGTTCAGACAGGACTGTGGTACTTTATTGAGGCCGTAATGTCCAAGGTTCTCAGCTTTGAAGATCCCCAAAACCCCTATTTTGCTATTTTGGGGATGATCACTCAGGCTCACAGTGGGAGCTACTGGTAACCAAACTCCTAAAAGACTGATGTGCCAGCCAGCCGCCAATTTGTAGTTTTTCAGTAAGAAATATAATGGCAAGCCCAGGTGGTCAGCAGAGTCTCCCATAGGGGAATAGCTGTGAGGTGGTGGGAAGCACCAGTTAAACTAGGAGAAGAGCAGACAGAGACCACGAGTTCTGAGGCCAGAATCTTAAAGGCTGAGAAGCCCTTCATTACTGTGATAAAATGAAAATTCAGGTTACAAAACAGTATGTACACTATAACCCCACCTGTGTTTAAGGATAAAATTAAACCTGGAAAAACATACATCATAATGAGGCCAGCAGTTATCATCTCTGGGTAATGGTATTATGAGCGATTTTTATTTTTATTTCCACTTTAAAATTTTCCACAAAATAATTAAGAGTTCCTTTTGAGGAAAGAAAATAAAGGATAAATTAAATATCCACCATTAGAGACTGTTAAATAAATCATGGGATAATCCATATGGAATGGTATGCACTCATTAAAACCATGTTATAGAAATGTTTTCAGTGCTTGGGGAAGGAATAGTTAATACTTACGAGGTGCCTACTGTGTGTGAGGCACCGTTCTAAGTATTTTCTGTGTCTGAAATAATTTAATCTTGCACCAAGCCTGCAAGGTAGATGAGAAACCTGAGGTGGAGAGACTTTAAGAAATTGGCCCAAGGTCACACAACTGATTTCAAGGTCAGTTTCATTTTCTGTAAAATGAGTTCCCTTCCTGACATTATCTCATCAGGTTGATATGTGAATTAAAGAAGATGAATATAGAGAAAATAATCCAGTGTCCAGAACAGGGGTCAGCAAACCATTTGGCCTCCAGGCCAAATCCCAGCCCTGCCACCTGTTTTTTGTTTTTTTAATTATTTTTCAATTGAAGTGTAATTAACATACTGTGTTATATTAGTTTCAGGTGTACAATATGATTCAATACTTCTATACATTACTCAGTGCTCATCACAGTATGTGTACTCTTAATCCTCTTTATTTCACCCCTGCCCCCACTGGCCTCCCCCTGCCACCCGTTTTTGTGTGATCCATGAGCTAAGAAATGTTTCACATTTTTAAATAGTTCAAAAAAATTTGAAAGGAGGGGCGCCTGGGTGGCTCACTCGGTTAAGCGGCGGACTCTTGGTTTCGGCTCAGGTCATGATCTCAGGGTGGAGAGACTGAGCCCAAGTCAGGCTCTGCGCTCAGCTCCCCAGAGTCTGCTTGAGATTCTTTCCCACCCTCCCCCCTGCTTCTCCCACCCACCTACACCCCACTCCCGTGTAAGCTGTCTCTCTCTCTCTCTCTAAAATAATAAATAAAAATCTTTAAAAAAATTTTTTGACAGAATATTTCATGACACCTGAAAATTATATGAAATTCAAATGTAAGTGTCCAAAAAAAAGTTTTATTGCAACACTGTCAAGCTCATTTATTCACTGTCCATGGATGCTTTTGCGCTTCTCTGGGATGAATAGTTGCGACAGGATATGAACTGCAAAGCTTAAAATCTTTACTGTCTGTGGGGCGCCTGGGTGGCTCAGTTGGTTAAGTGACTGCCTTCGGCTCAGGTCATGATCCTGGAGTCCCTGGATCGAGTCCCTGGATCCAGTCCCGCATCGGGCTCCCTACTCGGCAGGGAGCCTGCCTCTGGCCCTCCCCCCTCTCATGTGCTCTCTCTCTCTCATTCTCTCT